TAACTGGATGAAAAAATTAGGAATGGGAAAAGGAAAAGGTCCCCTGACTCGTCCTCCTGCAAATCCGGTGGACCAGAATACTGCGGAACTGGGAGGGCAGAACGCACAACCGTAATGTTACCAGTTCTAAACGTCGTGGGGAACGGACTGGTGCTTTTGTACAACCGCGTATGACAATTGAGGAGGAGGAGGAGTCAGAGGCAGAGCCCGAGCAGGAGATGGATACATATATGGATCCCCACGAGGACGAGTACGATCCAGGACTACGTTTTCAGCAGAAGTATCAGTTCCCGGTGCCTGATTTGCCATCCGATGATGATGACGAGGACGGTTTGACTCCGCCTCCGCCTCCGGCTTATACAATGGCGGGTACTTCCGGTGGTTCTACTCCTGCCCCAAACCCGAGGTCCCGGCCCGGTCCGAAAAAAACTCTTCCTACTCGACCGTGGAAGTTGATTGGTGAGACACCCGGTGGACCAAAATACCCTCATTTGATTCCGAGTTTTGGAGCCCATATTGCCTACGACATCTGGGAGGGAAAGGTAATACTTATTAATTTTAATAAATTTTGTTTAAAATGTTTATAGTTGATTTTTCTATTTTTAAATATCAATATATATTCTTAAATATCAATATATATTCAATAGGGCCGACATATGCTGAAGTTGCGGTCTCATGCGAAGTCTACTTGGTCGGGCCCTGACGACTATTATAGTGTTTCATTATTGGAGAGTACCGGGTTGTATCACTTGCGTTATTGTTCGCTCCCTCAGCACAATAACCCATTGATAGAGGCTTTTATCGAGAGGTGGCAGCCACACACCAACAGCTTTCACATGCCGTTTGGAGAGATGACAATTACTCTCCACGATGTGCACTATATCATGCATTTGCGAGTTAGTGGAAAGCGCTCTAACGTTTGGATTGATAAGGCAGATGCGATTTATGCGGGTGCGAGAGCGTTCGGTGTCGAGCCCCCAGTTATGGAGAAGTGGTATGGAGACGGATCCCGGTTAGATGATTTGGATAGGATGTATGGCGACGATTCTTCATTTGCTTCCGAGTTTCGGGTACGAGCATATATTGCGTACTTGCTTGGAAAGCTATTGTTTGTCGATAAGAGTGGATCGAAGGTGAAAGCAGATTTTTTCCCACTTTTAGAGCATATCGATATGATTTCCGACTATTCATGGGGTTCGGCTACATTGGCCTATTTGTATCGACAATTGGGCATGGCTACGCGAGCTGAGGCGGCGCAGATGGGTGGTTGTCTGACACTGTTAGAGGTAATTTTTTATTTGTAGTAACCCCTCAATTTTTTCTTTTATTAATATCACCAAAATGTTATGTTTAATATGCCGTTTTATTATTTTTGTAGTGTTGGATATATGAGTATTTTCCGTGTTTCCGGCCTCCGATGGTTAACGCACATGTGAATGGAGAGCCATGGTGTAAGAGGTGGCAGGTGATACATCATATCCCTAAAGACGAGGATATACTTGTTGATTATCGTCGACGTCTTGATTCTATGCGTGCGTCAGATGTAAGTATCAAGTTTAAATAAATTAAGATTTATATATTTACTATGTTTATTAATACATTTCTATTATGAATACATACGCACAGGTGAATTGGACGCCATTTGGAGTGAATGTGTCATGTGAAGTTGAAAAGACAGTTCATCACGGGACTATTCGATGGATGGATACGGTCGAGCCTTACATGCCCGATAGAGTTTTGCGTCAGTTCGGATTTCGGCAGATTAAACCGTCGGACCCTATTCGTCCGCTAAAAGGTGCTAAGAGGGAGAGAAAATTAGCATCTTACAAAATTAGCTACGAGCCTGGCGATCAGATGTGGAATATCCCTCACACGCACATGCTTAATGAAGATTATTATGGTCATTTGGCGCGTCCGGCTTGGGAGTCGACACCGGAGTATTTGCCGTGGTACCTCGACCACACCCACGTCCGTATACATCCTAGTACCTAGCCGGTTGAGAGAGCGGAGCCATCTGCAGTTCCGTTTGTGTACGACATCACCCGGGTGTTGCATCCCTACTTCTACGATAACTTGCCACCCGCGACTATTCCAGGATTTCGACAGATTCCCGATGACTTTTTCAGGACGATCCAGGATATGTGCGCCCCATTCGCCGAGTATCTACAGTTGGATCGTCCTAATGCTTCTGACGAACAAGAAGCAGGATACTCACATATGCGACATTCTCAGCGCAGGCGTCGGACGAGAGATACGTAGGTGTTTATTTTTTATGTTTTTATTATTCGAACTTCTTTGGTGTTGATGTTTTTTGCTTTGATTTGGACTTGTTGATGTTTTGTGTTTTTTAATTTGAACTTTTTCATGTTTTTTGTTTTTTTGTTTTTCGTTTAATAATAATAATAATAATAATAATAATAATAATAATAATAATAATAATAATAATAATAATAATAATAATAATAATAATAATAATAATAATAATAATAATAATAATAATAATAACAATAACAACTAACAACAACAACAACAACAACAACAACAACAACAACAACAACAACAACAACAACAACAACAACAACAACAACAACAACAACAACAACAACAACGACAACAATAACAACAATATTACTAAATCAAACACTAGTTAGACTATCCCACGCTTCACGTCGCTCCCGCAATGCATCTGACAAATATGCAACAGTATGATTGTTGTATCTCGCCCACTGCAGGTTAAACGGAGGAAGCGGACAGTTGTCATTCAGCTTCAGATATACAAAGTGGCTTCCTGCTTCAAGAAATAGTATAGTCATCTGGTAAGATAACTGTGAAACACCTTCGGGAGCCCAAAGTGGCAAATAAGTCTGATTTCCCAAACTACTAGCCGACAAGACCAACGTGTTGTAATATGTTGCTACAACCACGCCCACGTCCGTGATCGTCATCCACTTTTCCAGAGGTGCTGGAGCGTTATCCCAATAGCCGACACTCGCCAACACCCGATACACTGAATTACCACCTCCGAAATAATCATTGAAAAACGCCATATGCTCTCTAATACAGGTATACACTTCCAATCTAACATCCATCCAATCATCCTCACTGTTCTTGACTGCACACGCCACGCTCCGATAACCACAATTACCATCCCCTAGAACGTCCGTCCAGGTCACAATCTCCGGAACGAGGCAAAAATGAAGTTCTCGCATCCAAATAGGTCGGGGCATTCTTCTCATTTCGGGTCCACTCACAGTCGATGAACGACCACGAGATCTCTCAGAAGATGAACCACGACCTCTATTGCCTCTTGATCGTCCTCGGCCTCGTCTCGAATTTTCTTCGCCCGGGAATAATGGCAACTCATGTGATGAGTCATCCCTCTGCCAGAATCTCGTTAAGTTGATCTGCAATCTGTGTGTGATACTGTGCCCAAAATGTGTCAAAGCCACCTGTGGACGAAGCCAACCATCTCTTCAATGCTCTATGGGCGCTCTCCACCCTAATTTGATTAAAGTAGGTTATGTTTCAGTAAACAACATGACAGTGAGTTAAGTATATGTATTTAACCACTGATAAATAAATACCTGCTTGTCGATGTATTGCCCAGATGAAAAACTAGATCCGTCCATGCTTTTACAAATTTCTCTTTGTATATCAGCCAAGTGTCTTGGAGGTACTCAATCAACTGTGGATGATTCGCGTAATCGTTCACTAAAACTCTATAATTCCGGTAGAAATCTTCTTCACACACTGATGTTACCAAAGTTTGCCACGGACCGACTACAAAGGCAAATCCTCGACGCCTACTATTGCCAAAACACTTTGAAGCACGACGCCCCACATTAATGTTAATGTGCCAAAGACATAATAGATGAGGCACAGTCGGAAATACATTCTCTATCGCCTTTAAGAGCCCTAACTCGCGATCAGTCACGAGTGCACTAGGTAGAGTATGTGGGGGGAAAAGTCTCTTCAACCTTTGCAACACCCATGTATAATGCTCTTCATTTTCATGGCGCATAAAAACCACTCCAACAGTAAAAAAAATTTCGACCGGAGTAACACCAACAATCTCCAACAAAGGCAATTTGTACTGATTAGTTTTGTAAGTACTGTCAAGTAGTATAACGTACGGAAACTTACTTAACAATTCGACAGATAGAGGGTGAGCCCACATCAAATCGATAACTGCATGTGTCGTTTCATCTGTACGGAACCACTTGTAATAGTTATGCTCCTCAAGCAACTCAATCAAATATTGCATCACTGTACGGTCTCCCCTAGCTAATCTTCTCAACTTCGCCTTTTCATTGTATATTTGTTTCGAATAAGCATCGAGACCCAAGCCATTTTTTCTCAAGTTAGCCAAAATCTTCTTGGGCGGCACATGACTTTGTGAAAGATCCTTGATAATCTTCGACTCCGCTTCATTCAATGCACTAAGCCCATGCCCAGACGTGTATATCGGATGATGATTATGCTTCCCATATACTATTCTAAGCTCCCATCTATCGTCCAACCCCCGGCGTCCGACCATTTGAAAACCACATTCTATTTTTTTGCTACCAGACCTTTTCGAGGACGGCTCTGCGTTACTTTCTCGAGGCTTTCCGAACAGGTCACAAGTCAGACACACTTTATTTATTTTGGGGGTACTTTTTCTAATTAATTTCACGAAAAGAGCTCTTGCAACGGACCGAGCCCAATCCACTAACTCGTCCCCCGAGTCAAACAATTGAGTTGTTGTAAAATAATCGGTATGATCAACTTCAACTCTAGACGTATTGTCCTGAAAAGAATATTAAAAATTTATTTATTTAAAAAAAAAAAAAAAAAAATTAAAAACGGTTTGAACCGGACGCCCAACTCGGGCGCCCAAAGAAGCTGTGCACGCCCAATTTGGGCGTTTGACCAATTTTTCGAGTTTTTCCGATCGAGAAGAAGAATTTTTTACCTCGCTAGATCCGCTATCACGATCTTCATCCGACGAGCTCATTTGTTTTCGTATATCACACCAACAAGAATGATTTTTAAGCAAATTCTCTTCAAAACCTTCTTTTTCTAGAGAGATGAAATATTTTATTAATAACCGCGAATAGCAATTTTGCAACCGCGAAAAGCAAGTCCCCGTTAATAATCAACACTCGTCAAAATACAAGCGTAAGTTAGCTATGAGTATTTTTCCTTATATATGTCACAAATAATAGGAAATAAAGAAAAAATGAGAGCAAGTTGTAAAGAAAAAAAAAACTGTATTGGGAGGTTTGTACAAATAAAATAAAATATAAGGGTGTCAAATGCCATAAATCTAGAATATAGGGCTAAATTTAAAATAGAAGATTAATAAATTAACAGCAAGTGCCGACACGAGTACAAGAAGACACCGATTATCAACTTAAATATAATTTCTATATATATGTAGACAGAGATTCACAAAAGTGGGCTTAAGGGCATTAATTAATAAGCTAATCACACTTAATTAAACAAAGAGCGCATTAATTAATTCTAGCTTAATTAATCAAAGGGGCAAAAGGGTAATTTTGTCTGGATCGCCGCAGATCGGAGTGTACAAGCTAGTCATCGAGAAGGTTGATGAAATAAAGCGCGTTGCTGGTAACCCTGGCGGCGTTGGTGATCTTCCGGTGGACGTCCGCCCGAACCTCGCCGTTGATCTCCTTGAATCCGTCGAGGCAGGTGTCCTCGTACGTCAGCGCGGCGCTGACCCACGTCTCCGCATTGCTCATCTGCCACTGGAAGTCGCCGCCGCGGCGGAGGTGCTGCAGCGCCGTCAGGGTCTTGCTCAGCTCCTCCACCGAGTCACCCATCTGCTCCACGCAGTCGCTCAGGGCGCCCTGCTCCCTCCGGCCGTCGCCCTTCAGCTGGGCAAGGAAGTCCGCCGCCCGCCGGACGTCGGCCAGGCTGACCCTCACCGCCGCAAGCGCCAGCTCGCGGGGGGTGCTGGCGGCGCCGCCGTAGGAGGAGAGCGTGCGGAGGCAGATTTCCGGGAAACTGGCGTGGACGCAGGACCGGCGGACCAGGTCGTGTTTGGTTGCGTTGGCGGCGGCGGTTGTTGATGGGAGGAGAGGCGAGAGGAGGAGAATGAGAAGACAGGAGTGAAGGGCCGCCGCCGTCGTTGTCATATCTGAGATCGGCTGATAATGCGGCGGCGATTAGTGCGTTTTGTGTGTGAGAGAGAGAGTGAGTGAGTGAGATTTGGGGGCGGGGGGGGGGCCTAATGTTTTAGGGCAGCTGGTTGAATGTGCCTTAAAGTAAGACTGTAAGAGAGATAAGGGGGTATGGGACTTTTATAGGGGGGTTGGTAATAATTTATTAATTATATTAATTAATTAATTAATTATATTTTCTGGAAAGTATAAGAGACATTGGTCTTGAAATTGGACCAAATTACGAGGACAAACCTCAATATTAGTAATACTTTACATTAAACATATCTGCAACTAAAATCATTGTGTAAAAATTCAGAAATTAATTATATATAAAATAATAGGGGTGAATTGCGTTTTGCACCCCAAAATTAACAGTATGTAGCGTTTTCCACCCTAACATCTTAAAATGGCAAGGTCCACCCTTCAAATATAAGTCTCATGCCAAAATGCACCCTACCTCAATTTCTAGTGATATTTTAGCAAAAAACAATCAATATCTCGCGTTATTCTTTTGAAGGATTTTTCATTATTCTATGTTTTGTTTTCTTACTTAATATTATTTAATTATTTTACTTTTTTTATTACTATTTTCTTACTTATTTTACTTAATATTATTTAATTATATATATATATATATATATATATATATATATATATAATATAATTGATGATTTATTTTATATGTTTTGCATCGAATCAAAAAATGTATATATAATTTCTAATTCTGAATCAATCTTAATTTTTAAAATAATTCAAAATTCCTAGTTTCCATAAAATCAATATCTATTAAAAAAAATAGAATAAGAACTGTAGGACACTAGTATTATTTTTTAATGTTAGTTGATAGAAATTAAATGTATTATTTAGAATAAGACTTTAAATTTTTATTTTATAGAAGTTAAAATATCGGGATACATTGATTTTTGGGCTTAAATCTAATAAGAAATTGACGTAGGATGCATTGTGGCATAGAAATATAAATTAAGGGTGGACATTGCCAATTTTGAAATATGACGGTGCAAAGCGCCAATTAGGGTCAATTATGGGGTGCAAAACGGAATTCACCCTAAAATAAAATAATTGTCTTATGGGCCAGCAAATGGGAGGTTGACAGCTGTCGATCAAATAACTCCCACATCAGCCACACCTAAATTTACCAGCCAATTATTTATCTCAGCTGTTGTGTGTATCAGAAAATCAGAATAGAATTAAATTTTGTTACGAGGTTGATTAATGAGTTCGTTGAATTTCGTTTTTTGGGCAGTTGAGTTGAGGATGATGAATTAATTGCAAATAGTTGAGTTAGCATTAAATATATTTATATATTGTCTATTTATTTACAGGCCTGGTTTCTTGTTTAAGTATGCCAGCTCATCATGTACCCCCCCTATTTTCAGTTCACATCATGTTTTCCAACATCACCATTGAAAATAACACCACCTTTTTTCATAACCTTAGGCTCTAACATTTGAACTATGAGAAATATAAACCGCCAATCGGACGTTAGGAGGGCAAAACGGGTAAAAAAAAACCGGCACAAGTACACCAAAGGAGGCTTAAAGACCAGATGACCGTCCGATTGAGAAGCCAACCTTGCATTTTGGGACGGTTCGATTTGGAACGAAAAAAAGATCAGTTTTGTTCAGCGACAAATAGTACTATAATTCGTTCAATCATTTTTCTTTTTCCCTTGTAAATTAGTAAATTAAATTTGATTGACATGTGATATTGCCAAAAACAATTATGACAAGTCTGCAACTAAAAAAATGAATGCTTTTGATTTGGAGCCATGCATTAATGTGGGCAATGTGTACACCCCATAGCCAACTAAACTTACCAAACGTTCACATTTCACATATTCTTTTAAAATTAAAATAAAATAAAATAAATATATATATAGGGATAGGAATTGTAAATATGAAGAAATAAAGGGTGTCAATTATAATTATGGAAATAGTATAATTACTTGGTATAGAAATAAATGCAGCATGTCATGTGCGAGTTGCAGAGCTGCAACTGCTGCAAATGGTCCCTTTCCCCCCTACCATTATTTCTTGTCACCGCGGCCCCATTCACCTCTAACTACATATGCCTAATTATTGATTTTATTTCACACACACACACACACTTTGTATGTATGTATGTGTGTGTGCGCGCGCGCGAGAAGTTGTAATTATTGAAATTTCATCTATTCATAAGAACATAATTTTCTTCTGGTTGCATCCACCTAGTAGTGTAAACACGAGTGTTGCAAGTATAGATTGCGATCGTATTCGATTTTTTTCTGGAAATGGATGTAATGAAAATCGACCAATTTTACGTTCTTTTATCAGACGAAGCTGAAATATTTAGATTAAAAAAATATAAATTAACTGGATTGATACTAGAGTAAAACTACAAATTTAAACCGTATAAGTGCATTGGATGCACACACCTGCAGTCTCGTATGATGTAGCTTGCAAACCATATGAGAGACATAAACGATACTAGACTAACCATGCGTGACAAACTCAAAATAGGTGGATAATGTGGGTGACTGAATACTAGGCCTCTTGTTCATTCTTCATGGGTTCCTTTTGTTTCCATTTCGGGCTCCAACAGCCCGTTTTGTAACCCGGCCCATGACCCATATCAGATTCATCAATTGGAAGCCCAATTGTATAGAGAGCCATCCATTTGTTCTAAATTGTATTTGCACATTTATTTTATACACTAAAGAAGGCCCATCAAATTTTTATATAGAAAACATATTTAGCCATTGAAACAAAAATAAAAATGGGATTATTTGTCAAAAGCCCCCCATCACACAAGTCTAATTACAATGGATCCAATTTTTTCACAACTTTTTGAGATAAATCCATTTCAGTATTTATTAATAAAAAGTAATAAATTATCATAATTATACCCCTAACCTAAAAGTAACCTATGTTTTAGGATTTGAAATATTTAAGTATTTTTAATTGTCTTAGCAAATTATTTAACACTTAACATTAATTAAAAAATTATTAACACGGCAGAAAATATTTAATAAACATAATAATCTAAATAAAACTTAATTGGGAAAGAAAATAACCAACCCTAAACCCGTCCCCCCCAAACGTTCTGCATCTGCCATGGACACAAAGCTCAAGGGCAGGGCTCCCACACTATTGCCAGTTTCTTCTCTCAACCATCCGCCCAGGGCGCCCAGCCCACTCAGTCACCCGGGACGACTCTAGACGCCGTTACTACTCCATTGGAGACCAAAATCGAACGGAAAATATAGTTTATCTTTTTTTTTTTCCGTAAACTTAATAAACAACAGCCCAAAATCCGTTCATGTTTCATCAAGTTTGGGGAGGACTAATTTATATGTACAGGACCCACTTCAATATAAGAGTGGTTTTTGCACGCAGAGTGGTTTTTGCACACAGAGTGGTTTTCGCACACAAAGTGGTTTTTGCACGCAGAGTGGTTTTCATTAATTCCATAGTCTTTTTCGTTAATGATAAGTTTTTAGTGGATTTTTGTAATGAATTTTGTTAATTATATAGTGATTTTCATTAAATACAGAGTGATTTTCATTAATTACAGAGTGGTTTTCGTTAATTGATAAGTTTTTAGTGATTTTTTTTGTCATGGAACTTGTTAATTACAGAGTGGTTTTCATTAATTATAGAGCGGTTTTCGTTAATTCATAAGTTTTTAGTGAATTTTTGTAATGAAATTTGCTAATTACATAGTAATTTTCTTTAATTTAAAGAGTGGTTTTCATTAATTATAGAGTTATTTTTGTTAATTACATAGAGTTTTTCGATAAATTTATACTCTATTTTCGTAATAGAATACTATAATCACATAGTGATTTTTGGTAAGTTATAGAGGGATTTCAGTTTGTTAAAAACAATTCTTTTTTAAAATTTAACTTAAAAAACGGATGTATAAAAAAACCATTTAAATTTTTTTTGATAAAACTTAAACATAAATAAAAAGAAAATTCCAATTAATTAATTAATTAATTGGAGGAGAAGGAGGCGTGATACATGAGAGGAAAGGGGGGTGGTGGGGAGAAAATAGGGGGATTTGCATATCTACTAAGAAAATAATGAATTTTTCAAAATAATATAATATGGTAATTTTAAGTAATATTAGATAAGGACATTTTGGATAATTCCACTCAATTGGATTTATAACAAATATCAATTAAAATTTTTGGATTTATCAAGAAGTCAAAATTGAATGAGGGGTGTTTGACAAATAGCCCCAATAAAAATAACACTATTAGCAAACTAACTCAAATCAAATTAGACAAAAAAATAAAATGCAACTGAATCTTTAAAATGACAGTAGTACCCCTCACGAAACCTAGATTCGAATTTTGTAAATTTAATTAAACACCTAAGTTTGCGGTGGTTGGATACTTGGATTTGTAGTACAATCGCAGAATATATATATCCATTAGAACCTCGATAAATTAATAATTTCGTTTAAATAATAATTTCTTCTGATACCGATTCGATAAAAACCTACTAAATTGTTAATTCGATAATTTTATATTTCGTTAAATCATAGAATTTATGAATTTATAAAAGTTTAACCGTATATACGGAGAAAAAGAGAAAAAGAGAGGGCAAAAATGGAATTGTTGCAGTAATAAAGATCCGACAAAATGTATGTACAATTTTCAGCTCAGAAACCTTAGCAACTCTGTCATCACAAAAGGATTCGGAAATGACTAATTATTCCCATCAATTTACTACGCTGTAGTACATATTTATATATTGATGACCCCACCACACGGCGCCACCACCATCCGCCGTCGCCGCCGCATGTCTGCACCTACCGCCTACGCCCTTCCCACAACCGTACCACGCTGCCGTCCAGCACAGTCATATCTTGCCACCGGTACCACCCCAAGTCCCCCATTCTCATCACCACCATCGTTCTCTCCCAATCGTCGCACCGCCGCCTAGGGCAATAATCCAACTTCTCACTCACCGCCGCCTCCGCCGCCGCCACCTCACTCCGGTAATCGTCACTCTCACCGCCGTCGTCTCCTCTAAAATCCTCCTCCTCGTAATACAATCTAAACTTCGTTTTCGTGCTGCATTCTCTCGCCAATACGCGGCAGCAGAATGCCCGAGCGGGAGCATCTGAAACAATAGCCTCCTCCTCCTCCTCCTCCTCCGCCTCCGCCTTGCAGGACGCAGCATTGCGGAGCTCCGGCGACGAGAGAGCCCTGATCCGCCAGAAACTAACGGCGGCCGTTATGACGGCCACCCAGGGCCATATACTGTTGACGACCGTGAGGAAACCGTAAGTCAGGTAATTGAGAGCCAGAGCTTCGAGCGGAGAATCCAATGTGCCCATTTTTAATCCCACCGCTAATTTCTCTCTCTAGATTTTCTCTCTCAAGGCTTTCTGTTTATTTTTCCTTTTCTTTTTGTTTTCTTTAGCGAGAATATATTGAGTGTTGTGGATATATACTGGGATTATATATATGGGGGAGATCTGGAAAATCTGGGCCGTTGGATCAGATGGGATTAGAGCATCTGAGAGTAGATGCTTAGAATCGAGAAAAGAGATGCTTGTATGGCAAAGGTAGATCCAATATTTTGTACCTTAATTTTGTTTTTCTTTGGGATATGGATTGGACACGTGTCCCTTCGTAACTGGATTTTGTGGTTGTACTGTACTCCACAGTGTTAAAATAGACTCTTAGAGCATCTCCAACCGGTTTCACCATTTTTTCACCAAATCCTATTTATGGTGGTGAAAAAATGGGTTCATCTCCCACCGGTAGCACACCATTTTACTCTTCCACCATTTTTAGTGGAAAAATGGTGATTTTGGTCTCCAATGGGTATCACCAAAATTTAGACCAAATATTAAAATAATAATATTTCACCATTTAACCACTTATAGGAAATGGAATTTGGTTTGGTCTCCAATGGCATTTCACCATATATACCCCAAAACTATAAATCTAATGTTAATCGTAATTTTATAATATTGTATTTCCTAAATATTAATTATAGAACCAATGCTAAGTAATAAATTTTCTCAACTAAATAATTTAAAAATTATGTTATTAATCTTAAAAAATTGTCTAAACATGAAATAACATGAACTCAAATTATTTTAAATATAATAAAATCATACATAAACAATAATCTCATAAATTATTGCATGAATAAAATATTACAACATAAATCAATTTGAAATCATAAAAAAAATCTCATTCACCATTCTTATCATCATCATCACCATCATAATCTTCAACATCACCGATTTGAGCACGTTTATCCCACAAGTGTGCTACCAGTCTCCTTCTTAATTCATTGTGTTTTCCTTGATTTATCAGATTTCGATGTCGACCAAGAAAACTAACATATTCCGTATTATTAAAATCTCTCAAAAGCTCAACAGGCGGGATAGAGGACGAACTTTCATAGTCAAGGTTTGTGGGAAATTGAGTATCATCAAAAATATAAACGTTTCTATATCCACTGCGTTCTTCCTCAACTATCATATTGTGCAGAATAATGTATGCAAACATGACTTCGTGTAAGTCTTCTTTCTTCCAGAATCGAGCCGCTCCTCTTATGCAAAAGCAACATGAAGAGTACTTAAATATTCAAAACAAAAGAGAAGCACGTGCAGATTTATTGGTGAGCATTAAACAACAAAAAGTAGACATGAAAGAAAGAAAAATAAAATTAAAGGCTCTTGAACATGATATGGATATTATGAGTAAGGATTTGAGTAATCTCACACCCTATAGCAAACAATTCTGGAGTGATAAGAAACAAGAAATCATAGACAATGGAAACAGGTCAAGGGCTGCTAGGAATTTAAATTTTAGTGCAGGGGGAAGTGGAGGAACCGATGAAGATGTTTATGTCCCGGAATCTCCAAACGACAACAACTATGACAGCAGAGACTATTAAGTACGGCATGAAAACTTAAATAAGCAGTTTATTATGATTTAAATTTATATAATTTGTATTATTGTTTATCCTGTTTTGTTATCATGTTATGTTGTTTGTTATTTTATGAGCTATGTATTTCAATTTAAATGTCCCGTCCTGTATTTCATCAATTAAAGTGTGTTTTATTAATCATTCTATTGTTACTTATTGTATTTTATCAATAGCAATTAGCGTATTAGTTAAGCATTTAGCGTATTAGTTAAGCAATTAGCGTATTTTATTAGTATCAATTAAAGAAATGAACTAATAAACATTGATACCAACAAAAAAAACAAATTAATTAAAAATAAGCATATTTATATTTTTAGAGTTAATGTTTTGTTAATAATAACAAATGTATTTATATTTTAAAAACTAATTTAATAATTAATACCAATGTATTTACGATAAACATGATAATAAGTTGGTAATCGGGTGCAATTAGTTAAAAGGGGGGGGTTTATATGGTACTTAATAAGAGAGGGGTTAATTACGGCAAATTTTATTTTCACTTCTATATTTGGTAGGAAAAATAGGATTTGGTGGAAAAAATAGGAAAATGGTGGACCGGTGGGAGATGAAAATTTCTTCACCAGAAAATTTGGTGGAAAAATAGGATTTGGGTATTTGGTGATATGGGGGTTGACCACGGTTGGAGGCTAAAACCAAATCTCTATAATTTTAGGTGTAATGGTGATATAGGAATTTTGGGTGGGAGGCTAAAAACACCTAAATTAGATGAAAAATGGTGTTATGGTGTCCCGGTTGGAGATGCTCTTAGCTATCTATATATCCAATTAATAATGGGTCATAATACCATCTAACAATATGCATGGGATATATATATATATATATATATATATATATATATATATATATATATATATATA